GCTATAGCGATGCACTGCCTCTTCAAGTGACTTTAAACGGATACATTCACTGTCCCAAGCAATTTATATACTAAACAGCTTCACATGTGTGGAAGCATTTTGGTTCCTGGGTTATTCACTGTAAACTATTTCCCAGTCATCCAGCTGATAAGCTTTTACTGAATTCACAAGATTCATGTTGAAAAGGTTTAAATGTTTAATTTGCTCCACTGTATCTACTAAATAAATTACAAGTGGCTTTTTCATAATATAAAATGTTGAAGGGAAGTATATTAAAAATGCTGGAACACAGACAATTTCAAAACAATCTTCTGGAGTCAGACAGCTGACCAACTGCAATAAATTTTCTTTGTATCTGAACTTCTAAGAAAAGAAGAGCAGTTGATTCTGGAGAAGCTCACTACACAACCTTCATGGTATGTCTGTATGTTTTTGGTATATGTAGAACTTAAATGGCATTCTATAATTTAATCACAAATGAAGTGAAAATACTTATTGTATACAATATTTTAAGTCAAAGCTACCTAATTAAACTTGATAATAGGTTTGATTCATTTTATTGTATGCTCATATTGCAGAGTAGTAACAAAAAATATTTCTGCATTACCGAATATGTAGTGGCATAGAAATGACAACTCACTAAGACAAGTAAGAAATCATAACTGGCCAAGGAAGGAGCCACACATAAAAAGCTTCTTCTCCTGTATTAGTAATTCTATACAGTTATCTGTGTACCATCAGCGGAACACGGCAATGAAAAACACCAAATCTCACAGCTGATGCAAATAAAGGTTATTTAGAAAAGGAACACAAGCAGACACTTACGCTCCAAATAAAAAATGAACGTTACTAAAAATCATTCTCAAACCAAGCAGTGTTCTCGGGGGTGGGAGGGGCGTGGAGGGGAATCAGTAAGAGAATGCACTTTCTGAATTTGGCTCGAAGTCGTAACAGCCCAGGAAAATGAACATCAAAGATATCAGAAAAACATAAATCAGATCTAGACATGAACATAACACAATTTTAGCTTATTAAACACTTACATAAAAATTGAATCACTGGATGAGTCACATTGTCTTTGTGTGGCAAAGTTCTACTGTACCTAAACAGTTTGCTCTTGGAATGTCTAAGACACTGAATCCAGGTAACAGATCAAAAAACTGGGACCCAGTTTGGCAGACCACAGGTGAAAGCAGATTACTTCAAAGTGAGGAAAGGAACAGCAGCTTTACTTTACACAATTAGAGGGTTACCTTCCAGTACAAGGGTATTTTTTGAAGAAATATCCAATTTGTGTACTTTCTTATAGAAACAAGTATTATCTGTACGAGTACGTCCCCTTACATCACATCTGTTAATGAAGGTGACAGGTAAAATCCAGAAGATTCTTTGTGTCTTAAAGAAAAAAATCATATTGTACTGAACAAAGAGGATTTGTCAGTAGACTTCTCTAGCACGTACTACGGCTATAACCCTAATCTTTGGTGTACAACCAACAGCAGCAGATAAAGCAAAGCACACATAGGAAAAGATTTGTACAGTAAGACACACATTCAGTTTTCTTTATACCAAAGTCTTCTAACACTTTCACTTCCTTCTCTGTCTCCTCATGGGGAAACAGCTTGCTCTTCTTGCTCCTTACATATTTTTAAACATTTCATAAAAGGAGACTTAAAAAGTAAAAAGTTTCTTCTCCTACATTAGTAATTCCATACAGTTATCTGTGTACCAGCAGCAGCTCTTACAAAATGCTTTGTTGGCTCCAGAGCAACCTCAGTGCACCAGTGACTTACAAAGAGAGGAGTTCCTGTAGAAGGGGTGAATGACCAGCTTTATGACCATTCTCCCAGCAGCGGACTGACATTATCTACTGGGGACAAATGCGTCTTCTCAATTACTCCTGATTCAGACTACAATTTCAAAATACCTTGCTAAGGGTTTCTTCAAATGAGTTGTCCACATTGATGTGCAGATGACCTACTCTATGTTTTTCACAGTACGATCACAAGAATACTACAGTACAGTTTCTTATTTTGTAAAATCAGCAATATAATCTGGAAAACCTGAAGAAACACAAAAAACCTCAGAACAGAAGGCATGTCAGAAAACCATGCCTCAATTTCAGTCAGGTTAAAAAAAGGTCACTAAGAAGATGAAGGTATGTTTTTGCTTGGAGAATACTAAAAAAATAAAAAAGGCAGACAACTGTGAGTCAGGGTTAATTTTGTTTGGCATTTACATGGACAGGTAATGACTTGTTTACAAGTAATAATAATAATAATATGGGTCTGTTTGCTCCTTCCAGACATCAACATTGCAAGTCAGTGCCACTATGTTAGTCCACAATGACCAGTGACATCAAAAAATATCCATCTTCAGCTGGTTTTCCACCTAGCTTTTGCTGTAAAACTCTAAATAGCTGCTGATGTAAACTGAAGACAGAGTACTTATATAAGACACTGTAACCAAAACACCAGCGCTGAAGATGTATTAGAAAACATTTTAGGCACATCTTAAAAACTTCCTGCAACAATAAAAACATTAGGAATTATTCATTTTTAATTTTTTAAAAATGCAATCATCAATGTTAACTTTGTAATTTACATCTGTAATATTGAGGCTAGTTTTTCACAGTATATTTTAAAAACTTTATTAGTATTTGGAAGTGATTTTTCCTAACACTAAACTTACATAAGATAAACATAAAGTACTTACACCACTCCCAGCATATCGAACAATAAATAATAGATTCTCCTGACAGGACTTTGATGACCTGGCAAAGCCCGAGTGCTTTCAGCCAAAATCATATGAAACCATAAATCATTCTTTATTTTATAGAATATTTCAAAATGGATTCCTGCTTTCTACCTTGAAAGTCATTTCGTGTGTTATTTATAACCACGGAAAACCAGAATGGAAAGAAAATTGCACAGAACTAGAAAATTTACTGTGACTGCTTTTATAAAGAATAACTCCTTTTTAGAAAAAAATTAGAATTACCAGCAGACAAACTTGTGAATACAACCACCTTTTAAGGAGCCACATCCTTTATTTTATTACAACTTCACCAGCAGCTAATCCAGGCCTTCTGGAGTATCAGACATAAGAAGCTATGGCTGAATATAACCCAATCAGCTAAAGAAACTCAAAGGTAAGGATGACCCTGGATCCTTATCCACTTATATATATGCACAGCCATGTTGCAAATCTTTGCACTGACAGTGATCTCTGCCACTAATTCAACATTGCTGAAAGTCTGCCTATGAATTTTCCTTTTGGACAACTGCCTGAAGACAAAAGCTCTGCCATTGACTCCTAGCTCCGAGTGTCACTCTCAAATAGATGCGTTTTTTAAGATAAATGTTTATCAAAGAACTCCTAATGCTCCCTCTCACTATAGATGTACGACCATGTTAATCCTGCACTAATTTAAAAGTTGACCCCACAAAAGCTTATCAATAATGAACTCATTTAAATGAATATGACTAACGCCCACCTTGAATTCCTCAAGCAAGCACTTACAAACCTAGATCCTACAGGCTTTTAGACAAATAAAAATCACTTTCCAAAGAACAGACTTTCCAAAATACCAGAACGGCTTTTAGGATTGATGACATTGGATAATACCTGCTTTGGCAGAGAATCATCCAGTTAATCCACTCCTGCTTGGTTAGTGGGTAACTCGACCACTGTACTATATTCACACAGAAGGGGATATGAGAGGCCTGGGAATGGGAAGGAAAGAGTCACTTCAATACTGCAACAAAAAAGGAGGTAGAACAAAAGAACAATATCATTAAGAGCTTTAATTCTCATATTGTGTTGCCATTAGAAACCTCCAGATATGTCAACCAATGTTATATCATATGCTAATCTAGTGTTCTTTAGAACGATGGATATAAATTCCATGACAGTAGTGAAACTTTTGCTGCTGAACACACCAAAACCAGCATTTTTGTACTGCACATCCATCTTGCTCTAAACTTCCCCGTGCAAGAAAATGTTTAATCGAGGTTAAGGAAAAGTACTTTCTTCGATAAGCAAATTTACTTTTTCCATAGAAATATTGATGAAGTAATTGAACCTAAGCATTAAAGTGAGCACTGATGACTAAAATTTAGTGTGAGGTTCCATTTTCATTATGCTTACCACAGGGAAACAGTTAAATGAGCCTGAAATAAAACCAAAATCAAATGTAGTGTTACCACTCAATCTAATTACTAAAATTAACAGATGCACAAATTATAAGACCAGAAAAAGGCCACACGTGCAGAAAAGAATGCAATTACTACTATGCATTTAAAAACATCATTAACACAAACATTCTAGTTATTACAATATGACAATTAAATATCCATAGGTACACTCAGCACTGGTTATAGCATTAGAAAACACAGATTTAAAGACAAGACTAAGATATTGCCTCAGGAGTCATTTCCCAGAAGAGAAAAAAGGTGAAAGTTTTATTTTGAATAATCTTCCATACTGAGTAATGTAATACAGATTAAAAAAAAAAAAAAAAAATCAGTCAGTCAACAGTGTTAGTCACTAATTATATATGTTCTTAGTAAAAAGGAATGCAAAGAAAAGACAAAATAATTCCTCAAATGCAGAATTCTCAAAATCTTGAAATTAGTTATAGCGGTACTCTCTACAGGTGGGCAAAACCACATCTCTTTATACAAATCCACAGCACCATCACCAAATACAGCAATATTTCAGAGGAAGAATTTAGCTCAAAGATTTCCTTCCCTCAACATCAAAGCGCTAACATTACAAGTTTATTCCAAAGCAGGGAAGACCGTATCTGATGGTCGTTGCATGGCCAGCTCTCCCCCGCACAGACAGTTCAGCCAAAAGTGCCTTTGCTGGTGAGCTGCAGGTTTCAGGTGAATTCTGCTAACAGCGTGCCCAGGCGTGCGCAGCCTGCTCCGCCTGCGACACCCTACCACCACCCTCCACTCCGCAGCGAGCGGCCCGGCGTCACTTCACACACGCACCCAGCAAGGACAACGCATCACGGGCCATGGCAGACAGCACACAGCCGGAGCGGCTCCCCTGGCCGGCACCTGCGCGAGGCCCCTCAGCACACGGGTTGCCAGAACAAGCTGGACCATCTTCTACCTTCATCAAAAACTAAGAAACCCCCAGGAGAAAATTCTGGCAGCACGTTTTTACTCTTCCATTGCAATCATGAAAAGACGAAGTCTTATTTATGTAAATTCTAGTCAGCTCAGCTAAAGAGCCAACACCTTCACTAGCTTCCTTAGTAGCTCACATAGCGGCTCCTACTATTACCATTTTCATCTTCTAGCCTCCTCAGTAGCTAGAATAGCTAAATAGCCTAACACTAATTTTATAAACCTTTGAGTTTCCTTTGATTTTCTACATCACTGCATGACCTACATAAACATTGTTTTTTCTCATGGCAGTAAAGAATTCATTATCCTCAAAAATCACACAAGTTATGCAATTTTTAATATCTCACCCTTTTAGTTTGGTACTTCAGCCTTTCATTGTTTACCGTTCTTCTCATAGACTCAAAATATTCACAGATCTGAATATATGAAAATGTCAGATTCATTACTAGGGCTTCCACTCCATATAACAGGGTTAAGAACACAGAAGGAATTTCTTAATTTTGTCAAGAACCTCAATTTTGCATTCTTAGCAGGTCAACCATGGGGACAATATGTTTTTAGAATTTCTCGCAAACTCCAGAACTAAATCAGAAATCCTTTGAGCAACTACACATGCCCTGTAAGGAGATTACTTGTTTCTGGTAAATACTGAAAACAGCAATTACATTAAGAAACTCACTCATTCTATTCCAAATTACTAGAAAAGTATTCTTCAATCTGAATGACACAATTTGGCAGATTAAGGAACTCCAAAACCATAGCTCCTGATTCTACATGGAAAACAGTAACGTTCTGAAGTGTCTTCCCTTTTGTGCTCCAGTCATCATCCTGAGCTGGCCATGGGAGGTCTTCATAAAAGCAAACCAAATTTGAGCGTAAATTTGGGACCTACAAACAGTAATGTATTTTGAACATTTTCAGACTAGGGCTCAATGCTGAATTCAAGGTGGAGGGTTTATCAAGCTCAGTTTGAACCAGGCCACTGTCACTGGGTTCTACCAAACAGAAATTTGCTTCTATACTTAAAGATTATGATGATACACAAGCAGCAAATCTCTTACTTCTGAAAGAGTATTTTAGATTTTGCCGTGTAGTTACTGTGTTGCGGAATGTTGCAGTGAGACGTTCAAGATCTCCATCATTTTTCACCTTAACAGGAAACAAGATGAACGTGTACAGGACACAGAAAGTGGAGGCAGTTCCAGCAAGTTCAGAGTGAAGTCTCTGATACCAGCAATCACTCAACCTGACGTTTGTCCATATACTGAGAAACACACTTTAATGAGGACTCAGAAAGTTTGGGGTTATCTGTAAGCAGGCACAGAGATTACAAAAAGCTTTTAAGAGATAAAAGTTCTTGAACTATAGGATACTATAAAAAAAATACTATCCGCATACACCATGTGTACTGCAACAGCGTGGACTTTAGCTCTTCAGAACGACTCCCAGGGCACAAAACTAAACGAGCAGCAATCAGGTATCCCAGCAAACAGGGCTGCCGGGGTGCTGGGGGCAGGCAGGGCTTCCGCCGGTCCCAGCGGTGGGTGCCGGGCAGGAGGGGTGC